AGCAGGAAAAATATTTGATGGAAACATTTCAGTTGGTTCCACCCCACATACAAACTACCTGATCTGTCAAGCGCTGGAGTATTGCGGATAGTGGGCGTGCTGAGAGCCTGTGAACCAAACTGGACATCCTGTTAGAAACCACTTTGAGTCTGGGGATGCTACAGCTCCCTAGTCCCCACACCCCGATGACCTGCCTTTCACAATGCAGCGCTTTGCTTTAGCTAGCATTCTGCTCCGACCATGCAGGCTCCTCTGGCTGGTAGCAACCGTCTTCGCTCCCTGGCATCTGACTTTCTCATCCCCACACGCGTCTAATCTCTCTCCCGGGGCTGATATTTACTGAGGGGTTATGTAACCTCCAGAGAGGTTATTCTCATTAACTCCCCTCTTCTAGCATTGCTAAATATGCGTGTGTGAGAGACACCGGGACACACACACAAACACAGCATGTTCTCAACGCCCAGAGGACGTGGACTTTCTGTTTGACACAGGTATTTCTGAGTTGCTGCCCTATTGTTTTATAGATACATTTCCTAGAACACTAGAACTGGAAGGGACCTCGAGAGGTCACTGAGTCCAGTCCCCTGCCCTCACGGCAGGACCCAGCACCGTCTACACCACGGCTACTCAACACACGTCCCCTTTGTTTGTGGCCCACAGTGCGGTTTGGGTTTACACGGGGCTCAACATGTGGCCTGTGAGTGAGATCCTTGGCCTCCATTGGGAACACGCTCCACAACAGCAAGGCGTCTCCCAGGCAGGGTGAGCACTGAAAGACGCAAGCGGACGGGCTGGCTGGAACAGACGGGTGCAGGGTGTCGGTGGGGCATTGTGGGAAGTGCTTAGCCTTGTGGGCAAAGCCTTAGAGGTGCGGACCAGCTCACACTGGCCACGTTTGGGTCCAGCGCCACAGCTTAAGGTTTAATCGTTGTATTCATGCCCATCAGTGTGGAAGAAGCTATTTGCATATACAGGCAGTCCCTGGGTTACGTACAAGATAGGGACTGTAGGTTTGTTCTTAAGTTGAATTTGTATGTAAGTCGGAACTGGTACATATCGTAGGGGAAACTCTAGCCAAACATTTCTCCAGAGCTCAGTTTTATTCTCCCACACCTCACTTCCCTCAGTCCTTTATTCTCAAGCTGAGGTGTATGCTGAGAAAAGCCGCTCTGCGTCTCCCTGGTCTGCTGAGGGGGGCGCTAGCTTCGCTTCTCCCCGGTCTGCTGGGGGGAAGCAGCTAGTGCGGGGTTGCCTCACCCCGTTTGTAAGTAGGGATCCGATGTAAGTCGGATCCATGTAACGTGGGGACTGCCTGTATATGCAACCACACTTGCGTTGTGGGCCTCGGCCTCAATGTCCCAAGATTCATCAGAGTGAAGATGTATATAGGGCTAAAATCACGAGTGAGCCATCACGCAGTCCTCAACCCAAGTCCCAGTTCTACCACCATTCCCCCTGCACAATTCTGAGCTTTCAGGGCAGGGGCTGTCTCTTGCTATGTACAGCACCGAGCGCAGCAGGACTGCCGTCTCAGTTGGAGCCTCAATATCTTACTGTACTGCGCTGAATAGTTGGTCCTGCACCATGCTCTGTGCTTGTGACTTTAAAAAAACAAACCCAGATCCGTTAAAAATCACATTGAAATTAACTTTAAGCACTGCCCCCCCCTCAGCACCGCTATTAAATCAACGGGCTCTTTTATGCAAAACACGGACAAGGCAGAATACCACGGGAAACTGGCTGGGCTTTTTAGGAACAGGTTTTGCAAGTCTGCTAACGGTGTCATGCAAATGATTTATTTATAGTTTAACCATTCACATTATGTATCATTCAAATGTGGTAAGCTCGGGGTAACACTGTGAGACATTCAGGAACTGTGAGAATGAGGAACGTTACAAAGATTTCATAAGAGGTTAACAGCTGCAAACATAACCAGCCAGAAGT